ATAACCTCAAATTGGACCTTGAGTATGTCGTCCACACTCGGATTTGCTGTTAAATTTCCCCCGAAGCGCCGCAGCACAGGAGGAGTTGGCTTGTGACTTGGTGGAGGAGTTCCTCCGTCACTTTGGGTCACGATGATACTTGGGGGACCCTCTCTGGTCAGAACAAACGGGACGGAATGTGTAGGAGTTTGCTTCTGATGCTGAGGAGACTCCGGGAAAACAGAAAGCAGAAAATCAGGTGACAAAGATCCTCGTGAATCCCGGCTTTGCCTTTGTCTCATTTCCTGGAGCGCCTGTTGCTCAAACTGTCTGGCTTGTTCTTTGACCGTCAGCTTCGGCTCCAGACTCGGACTCCCCATCAGGTCTGAATCCAACCCGCGGTCAAACCCTGAATCTAGACCAGCGTCTTTACTCTCCTTAAATTCAGCCTTGAGAAGCTCCAGTTCCCACTGCACAGGATCCATGACCACTTGGCGTCTCAGAGCGTCATACATATCTCTTCGGTGTAATCTTGATGGGAGAGTCCAGCTGTGTCCGCCCCCGGATCCCCATCCACTGTCACTGCCACTGTAACCACCAAACCCCACATCCCCTCCAGGGGAGCTGAGCCTCAGCCAGGCCTCTCGAATACCTTTCCTGGAAGGGGAAAAATTCCCAAGGAGGTCTCGTCTTCTCTGGCTTCTTCCAAGAGTCTCTGGACTACTCAAAGTCCCATCCTCGTGGTAGATGGGATTTTTGATGGTCAGAGGGTTTTCATCAGAGAGGAAGGTGATATTGGACTCAGACTTGGGCAGTTTGTTAAGCACCCCTCCGTTTGCAACACACTGCCGATGGGCAGCGATTGCACGAGTGGCAAAATCAGAGATCAGACGCTGGCGATCGCTTTCGTCCAAACTGCCGCCATTACCACCACCACTGTGGTTTGATCGGCTGGTGCAGGGATTATGGAATAAAAATGAGAAAAAGGGGAAAATAATGAATGAGGTACAGAGAAAATATGAATGAGAAGAGGGTGCAGTAAATCAGAAAGATGTAAGCTACATGAAAAAGATAAGGCAGCTGGGGATTTTATACAATTTACATGAAAGTACAGTAATGCACAGAAAGGGGAAATGACAACAGGGGTGTACATAAAAAAAACGAGACAAAGCAATAGGACGTCTTCTAGAGCTGTTTGATAAATGACGTGAGGAAGAGAACAAGAGGAAATGGATGAGGGATCCTAAACAAGGTCTGAGTATTTAATTGTGTTGTGTTTTTTACTAGAGGGGCAAGAGCGCTAGCATAGATACACAAAGGAAAAGAATGCAAACAGGTTTTAAAGTATGTAATAAAAGTGGTGTGCTACAGAGACGCTGGGGTATCGTGACTCTAAACAACGCCGAATCAGTTGGGACACAGATCGTGTAAAGAGTTAATGCCACTGAGACACGTTTCCTCTCAACAAAACACTGATTATATGTTCTACTAATGCAACTCATCATCTCAACGATCGACCAACTGTGCTCTACGATCTACACGTGCATAATTACCCTGCACATACAGCTACAGTCACCACAAACACAAAACTAGAGCGAGAAATCTGTCACTGTGCGCGTCAGATTATCACAGATTTTCAGCATCCTACTCACGTTTGTCTGTCAGTCATGGATAAAGGTGGATGGATGAGAACAAAAGAAGATGGGAGATCAGTCAAGAAAACAAAGACTGGTGGTAAATGTTAATAGTTGTGAAAAGAAAGATATGGTGATCTAAAATATCTTCAGAAGATGGTAACAAAGCAGAGCTGAAGTCGGAGAAAACGCTGACGAAAGCTTTGAAATTTCCCATCATTTGCCAAAGCATTTCCCACGTTCATTCCTCCTGGGATGGTTGGTTGTGCTCTAGTTTAGTTTATTGCCCTGTTTAAATTTTATGGTACAAATACTCCACCCTCACCAAAAATGATGGTTGAAAAAATAACCAGTAGAGTGGAGAACGTAGAGTGCACGTGAGGAAACAGGATGTGCACTTGGTGATGAAGGAGCTGGATCCCTGAGGAGTGTCATTAAGGCAAGCAGGACATCTTAGATGAAGGAGTTACTTCTCAAAAGGACCGAACTTCATCTGGCACCTGGACTTAAAGACTCTCCTCTGGGATCCAGCTCCTTCAACATCAAGCACTCATCCTCTTTCCTCACAGTCCGTGTTCTCTGCATTTAAATACATCCACTGGTGGCTGTGAAGCTGCCCAGAGTACTGCAGCTGGTTGCTCTAGCGTGTCCTCTTAGTATTCTCTTGAGATGTCTTTCACTTATTTGAAACCTGTCATGCACTGATTTAATATCTTTATATGTAAGGCCAAGCTCGAAGTACAAATCTATGAACCGCTCCATTGTTGCGGTAACCATGGTCCCGAACTGAACTGGAAGTACATTGAAAAACATGGAAGTACACTGAAGAAAGTAATGAAATACTTTTTAAAACAGTCTCCAGATTAGCGTGAAAATGTGTAATCCAGAATAAAATTCTAAATAGAATCACATTCACAGTGTGGACTGGCTTAACATATATAGGAACGCATGTTGTACTTGGTATTGTGTCAATACTACATGACTTTATATTCTGTTAACCTGCTGCTAATAATAAATTGGACATTTAAACATTTAATTTTCCATAGGTAATTGAAAAAAGACATTAAACCCAAGTCTGTGTAGAGAACAGCCAAAGGTAATTAAAGGGAGAACAGATGCCTTGAAAATCAGTCTACTGAGCAGTTTGATAATAGACCTTAATTATGAAGGTGCAAACTTTTGCACTTTGCCAGATTTTACACCCTTTGGGGATTATTTATTCCCCACCACCGCATCGATACAGAGCATACACACAGGAAACACCGAACACACACAGAGACACAGAGACACA